GGAGCTTTGTCACGTTGTTTTGTCACCCATGAAGAGAAGCTAAATTTCTCAGGGATTATCAATTTCTCAGGGATTATCACACTTTCAGAGGTTATCACATTTTCGGCAGGCATCCCGGATGGGAAAAAACCGGCAACGATAGCCAACCAAACAAATGTTCCGAAAATTGTTAACATAAATAAGTGAAGGGAATAAATTCTGGGCGTGGATTCCTTCATACTTGTTGCAATGTTATAAAGTTTGCGGTGGGGTAGAATGTTAACAATATTACCCAGTGAATTATGTTACTACTGGCTCTTGAATACTGGGACCGGCCCAATCAATAGTAGGACAGATTAGATGAGTACTGGGACAGATTAACTGGATGTTGACACACGGTGACTGAATGCCGGGAGTGGCAAAACTGGATATTGGGCGTGAATGAATAACTGAATACTAAGCGTGGCTAACTGAATGTTAACACTGGCGGGCTGAATGTTGGGAGCGGCTAACTGAACACTAGGAGCGGCTAACTGAACACTAGGAGCGGCTAACTGAACATTGGGAGTGGCTAACTGAACACTAGGAGAGGCTAACTGAACATTGGGAGCGGCTAACTGAACATTGGGAGTGGCTAACTGAACATTGGGAGTGCCTAACTGAAAACTGGAAGCGGCTAACTGAACGTTGGGAGTGGCTAACTGAACATTGGGAGTGGCGAAGTGAACATTAGGAGCGGCTAACTGAACGTTGGGAGCGGCTAACTGAACACTGGGAGCGACTTACTGAATGTTAGGAGTAGCAAACTGAATATTGGGAGTGACTAACTGAATACTGTGAGTGGCTAACTCAGCGTTGTGAGTGGCAAAATGAATGCTGACACTGGCGGACTGAATGTTGACGTGGTAAAACTGGCGGGCTGGATGTTGGCAGCGGCAACATGGGAGTGAATTATGTGCAATGACGTCGACTATGATAAAACAAAAGCATGTCGTAAGAGTCCACTGTGGGCTTCTTCGAAGTCAAAGTGCATCTGCCCGAGAGGCAAGGAACCAATAGTCTGCATACGGGTAAGACAGTTCTGTAAAAAGGATGCGCAAGTGGCATTCAGGTTCTGGAACAAGACTAAAGTCTAAAGGTGGACGAACAACTTTAACTTTTCGCCGGAGATTACAGACGGTGAACGCAAAGAAGAAGAAACTGTCTAAAATGGTTATCGAGGTAAAGTCCTGGAAAGTAAAGGCAGCAGGTGGTGGCTATCCATAACGTCCACCTAATTCCGATTAGTCAGTTACTTGCACAATATGTTATTTGCGTATCCTTTACAGGACGTTGCAGAACCAGCTTTAGCATTATTTGACTTTTATGGTTTCTCTAGGCAAATTTTACGTTCAATAGTTTGCCATTGCCCCTGAACTATCAGCTATCGGTGCCATTGTCGAAACCAACGCAAGACAAATCATGACCGGCTCCAGCTGACGGGCCGTGCTGCTGACGTCACCGCGTCAGGCTAACGATGCATTAACGCAGCGGTTCTCAAACAAGATATAAACTATTTTCGACAGTGGCAAGGAAAGACAACTTAAATTTTATCTTTAAGTATCTACATGCCTTCTTCATTATTTCACATTTTTAGCCGACTTTTCTTTATTACGCGGCAGCCCTGGCATACGCTCAGGACACCCTAGGCTGCCTCAGCACCCAGTTTGAGAAATGCTGCGTTAACGCATCGTTAGCCCGACCCGGTGACGTCAGCAGCACGGCCCGTCAGCTGGAGCCGGTCGTGGTTCAACACACACAAAGTATTTATTTCCATAATATTTTATACAATCATATATCAATTCCAACATTTCTTATTATTATATATTACATCTGTTACTCTATTCTTCACTATACTCAGTGTTATGTCTGCCTTGTTAGTTTCAATTTTTTAAGAGAAATGCCATCCATACAACACATTTCAAATTAATATTTTACAAAATACTTGTTGAATTAGTTCAGAATTACACTTTTCACTTTTTGATCAAGTAGTTTCTCTCTGTTGATGCTCGTTGTCTGTTCAAAGTACTTAGTACTTATTCAGTCTTGCACACAGATGAATACAGCTCACACAGGTCACGAACAAGATTCCTGGTATAATTTCATGAAGTTTAATCACACTGAGTTGAGTTGAGCTGAGTCAAGAATTGACATTACAGCACTCGGGGCATTCCCATGCGTGCTCCGTCCTCATCTTTAGCAGCTAGCGCGGAGTTCCAATACTGATGGTACCAGTCACAATCTGGTTATATGTATATTAGATCGTTAGATCTTATTACATGTCTGTACCATTGCATTTTCCGTCGTTGCACTGTAGTTAATAGAGGGACAATAGTTGCCAGTGTGTTGGGTAATAATACAGCATGGGTAATTATTAGGACTGTACCGAATAGGGATTTTCACTATTCGGCCGAATACGAATAGCTGGACCAACTATCCGACCGAATACGAATACGAATAGTGAATCATCAACATCAGGTGCCTTGCCGACTGGCATGGGCTATTATTTTGCGATCTCCTGCAGCATGTATTAGTTCGTGTGCTGACACACCTCCATGCCATGCAACAAGACTGTCAAGAATCTTCTCTCGTTGTCTTCCCCTATCTCTCCTTCCACAGATCTTTCCAGTGGTCTTCACACATTCCATTTTCCTTCATCTTAAAACATGGCCGAAAAATGATGAATGTCTCCATCTGATGTCTGTGAGTAGTTGTTTTCGAGCTCCCGCCTCTTTCAAAACCTCTTGGTTGCTTTTTTGTGTGTGTGGCTGTCCAATGTATTTTAAGCATTGTTCGTAAAACCACATCTCTGAGGCCTCAAGAAATTGTTTGGCCTGCCTATCGATTGTCCAGGACTCACAGCCATATGTTAAAACTGGATGTATGTAGCAAGCAAGAATTATTTTCTAACCTTCAATGACAAAGATATATTGCATAAGATGTTCTTCATTTTATAAAATGCAGTTTTTGCCTCTCCTATGTCGGCTTTGTGGTTAGGTCACTGCAAACGTTTCGTAATGCCGGGATACCGGGTTCAATCCCAGCTGCAGGCCATGCGCCTTGTGTTGGTTTTGACAGTGTTATCAAGAAAGCCGACCGCCCAGAAAGCAATGGCAAACTACTGGACGTAAATTTGCCTAGAAAACCCACACAACAGCCAGGGGCTTTTGGGGTTGGTTCTGCAACGTCCTGTAAAGGATACGCAACCAACCTGCCTGTCCTATTCTGTTTCTTATTTCAGTTATGCATCTTCCATCTGATGTTATCAATGTGCCCAGATACTTAAATTTCTGTACTTGTCCCAAAATAAAACCATTGACTTTTATTTCACATTTACTAGTAATTATTTTACTTATATATATATATATATATATATATATATATATATATATATATATATATATATATATATATATATATATAAGTAAAAATAATTACTAGTAAATGTGAAATAAAAGTCAATGGTTTTATTTTGGGACAAGTACAGAAATTTAAGTATCTGGGCACATTGATAACATCAGATGGAAGATGCATAACTGAAATAAGAAACAGAATAGGACAGGCAGGTTGGTTGCGTATCCTTTACAGGACGTTGCAGAACCAACCCCAAAAGCCCCTGGCTGTTGTGTGGGTTTTCTAGGCAAATTTACGTCCAGTAGTTTGCCATTGCTTTCTGGGCGGTCGGCTTTCTTGATAACACTGTCAAAACCATATATATATAAGTAAAATAATTACTAGTAAATGTGAAATAAAAGTCAATGGTATATATATATATATTTATATTTTATTTTATTCACTACTTCTGTCTTCTCACTATTCAAACGCAGGCCCATTCTTCCATTTTCGAATAGTGTATAGAATAGATCTAAAAAAAAAAAAAAAACACACACACACACATCAATAATGTCAAATGTACGCTGAAAGTTTACTTCACTAAATGTAGTACAGAATAGTAAATATTTAAAAGCATTTCATGTTTTGCGTCCTTCGGTCAGTCAGTCTGTGATAACTAATACCTAGGAATGAAAGTATTCTTAGTTTTATAACAGGTAACTAAACTTGTAAATTGTCACTGACAGCTTAGTTAATCCATGAAAGCGGCATTAGCTTTCAAAAAAAAAAAAAAAAAAAAAGTTCCATGTTGTCAGCATTAAGGAAGCTTCTTTTCTCACTGAAGGTATTTCGAGCTATACTAAACAGACGTTCATTTGGTACTCTCGTATGTGGTGCACAAAGAGAACGCTTGACAGTATGAACCAAGGTGGGAAATCTTCATTTGTTTATTTTCCACCAGTCTAGAAACGGGTGTAATGTAACCACTATTCGTATTCGGCCTGACCGAAACTATTCGGCCGAATACCGAATAGTTATTATGTCCACTATTCGGCCCCGAAGCGAATACGAAGCGAATATTCTGTACAGCCCTTGTAATTATCCAGCAGTGATTATTTTATGATTGCCCGGGCTGATACTACAAGAGTTGAAGAAAATATTTTTTTTTAAAATTAGAATTTTAAGAAATAAAGCCAAAAATCTAGAACAGGACGTGGCAGCTTGGTTCCTTGAAATAACATGATCCCGGATTTGAAAAAAAAAAAAACAAAAAAAAAACGTCTTCAAATGAAATAATCCGCTTCTAAATCTCTGTTTTTCTAATGTAGACGTGATGATACAAGTTTTCTCAGACACATATTTTATATAAAACTGTTATAGAACTTCTTCAAAAAAGGACAACCCCCCCTCCCCCCCCCCCATTCCCCTTCCTTTGCAAACCTAACATGAAGTGAGAACAGTTCTTAGGCAGGTGGTGGCGCATTAATACAATTCCCTGAAAAAAGGAGATCTTTTACAGTGTGGGCCAGAAGGGCATATAAATTCGCCAATAAACTTCCGGGTGTTAACACATATTAAGTGATTCAAAAAACTAGCAGTTAATTCTCCAATTCGGGGTGTACAGCGTACAAGACAGGAGATTGACGAGAATGCCACCTTTAGCCTTTGGTTTACTGCTGTTGTGCACTTTCCTAGCTACGGGTAATATTATAGCAATACTATTTTGTTCAATAACAATATATGTATATATACATACATAAATGACCTTTAACCCCACCAGGACCGCATAACGAGCGATAAACCCTACTGACCCGGGGGGGGGGGGGGCGGAATCTGCCTGTTTTCGAGGCATGGTGACTGCCTCGAGTGCTGGAGGTCCCGGGTTCATGCCCAGCCAAGGCTAGGATTTTTTTCACCTGGACTTCTAGTAATTTCCCATGGTCTCTGGGTAATGAGATCGGACGTGCCTGTGTATTGTTGCGCACGTAAAACATCCAATGGCAGTTGGATATCGAAAAGAGTAGCCTAACGGCGCTGCCCAGGCAAACATTTGGAGTTAAAAATCTACCCAAAGTATTTCAGGACCCTCGCCGATGCTACCGAGTTCGTGCACTGCGCTGAGATTTTTTACGGACTCGGGCTAGAGATAGAAGTAGAACGGAGCACTGATGTGTTACCATCTTTGTGCCATGATGTTGTATAAACATAAACAAACTAAAAAATAAACACACCAGGTGACACAAAGTGCCATTTTTCGGATGGGAATTACGCGGGTGCAAGTCCTAGAAACCTCCTTAAACCGTTAGGTTATGTTTGCGCTCCCCCCCCCCCCGACCATAGGCTTTAAAATAATTTTAAAAACTTTCGCCCTACAAGAACAGTCGTCGCCATTGTGGGTTAGTATTGATTTGTATTGATTTTAACAGCATTAGTCAAACAGTTTACTTCGGAGCATGATACAATGTCATTTTCCGTTTTGAAGAAGTGCCCATAATACCAATGACAAAGTACTCTAAAATTTTCTTTTCTGAAGTCTTAGTCTTTACATTTCTCTTCTGGTGACGAGGAAATCTCTGTGAACTTTCATATTTCCAGTTCCTTTGCGTCTTATATCAGCTAGCCCCATTAACGTGATTTTCCTTCGTTGCATTATTTTAGTAATCTTTTCTGCTTTATTTCCCAGGCCTGCGGTGTTAGGTGTTGCAATCTTGTATTTCGCTTTTCTGTCTCGCAGTCCTTTAACTCTGCCATGATAAAATGTCCGTTTATATCTCACTGTACCTGTTGTGTCGGCTCTGTGGCCTCGTAATGCCGAGATGCCGGGTTCGATACCAGCTGCAGGCCATGCGCCTTGTGTTAGTTTCGACAGTGGTATCAAGAAAGCCGACCGTCCAGAAGCAATGACTAACTACTAAACGTAAATTTGCATAGAAAAACCACACAACAATAAAGGGCTGTTGGGGTTAGTTCTGCAACGTCCTGTAAAGGATACGCAACTAACCTAGCGGTATTATATCCACTGCCGGCTTGCTATTCCTTTCGCAGCTTCACCAGAGCCCCGTTGGCCAGAACGTTTCGGGGTGACCCTAGGATGACCTTCATGGCTACCCTAGCGGTCCCGTGGCACAAGGCTACACCAGACTTTTAAGATACTAAAAACTTTCTCCTGGAAAAGAAGAAGAAATGCGCCAGATCTGTAAAATGGATGTTAACATAAAAGTTTTGTAACAAGACAAATTCCGTAAGTGCACAAACAACCAGAAATTTCTGCCAGGGTTAGCAGTGAATACTTGGAGAAAAAAACCTTTGTATATCTGAATTATAAATCTGCATTTACAACCCTGGCATGAGCAATGTTGGGTATGTATTTATCATAAGCATTGTACGAGTGATATTATTTGGTCAAGTGTCATATAGATGTTTAGGATCAGTGAGCGTGTTTAAAATACTGTCTGAGGAGGTGTGTATAATCTTACTTGACAATATGACTTTCAGGATTACAGTGTTCACTACATGTACACAATATTCGCTACCTGTACACACATGTGCTGGACATCTTATATTTACTTCTGCTGATTTGTCATTGTGACTTGATGGGGCTGATTTCCTCGGAATACGTTATTATGGCATCCTTTATAATAAATAATTCTAATTCGATGTTCTTGATGTCTTCTGGGGTGGGGGTGGTTCTAAAATGGTTTGCCACAAAGTTCACTAGTAAACTGAACTATGACACGTAACCCAGTGTTAGGGCTCTCTTGATTTAAATTTTTTTTTTTTTTTACCACGGTCAGATTAAACACAACACCCAGTGTTTGAAATCCTGGTTGGTGTTCTAAATTTGGATGCAGATCCGGTGTTTATACATGATCTGGTGCAGACAGTATGTTGAGTTGCCCATGCACAATACGACACTGTTTATGGCAATAATTTTGGTATACAGTCAACAGATTATCTGTGGTCAGGTTATCAGAAAGTCTGTAATCTTCAAGCTTGAAGACTTACAATCGTACTATCATAGAATTACAGTTACATTCCTCTGCTATATAGTCGACAGCTTAAATCCCTATTATTTAGAGCAGTTCAGCAGATGATCGTCAAATTCCAAAGAATGACAATCGTACTTAGATAGACAGTATATCTTTAGCATGTCTGTTACTGACTTCCCCCCTTCTCCCCCCCCCCTCCTCTCCCCCTCCCCCGCCGGCTTTTTTTTTCAACAAAAAGCTAAATTAATTACAGGTTTTCATGGAGAAAAATGGACACCTTGTGGCTTCTTTTTATGAGTGCCAAGCAACATTTTGGCAGAAGTTTAAAGAAGAGCATTATGTAACTTATTAATTTATTCCGATGACAGTTTGTTTCTACTTTTGGTGCTTGATAAAAATATCTGGCCTGAACATTCTGCTGCATCAAGGAAACAACAATCTATATATTTAGCCATCAAAAACCCTTTAAATGAAAAACTGCAATGGGACTTTTTTTTTTTTTGTATAGCAAAAGTTCTATACATGAAACTTGACTGAGACTTGCTAATATATATTCTTTATGGAATAGTTTTTTTCTCCCCCTTCTGTCTACAGTGAGAGGTCAGCAATCAATTGTGTCTACAAATACAATCAGTCCTGGAGCCAAGTTTACAGTCACCTGTGATGCCAACAAAGCTACTGGTGCTGCTCCACAAGGAGTTGTTGGTGTACAACAGTTGACCATTTATCGAAACCTGACAGCTACTAACACTTATTCCAATATTGCTCAGTACCGAGCCGGTATTCCCCCCGGTGTTAGTCCAAATGTTACGGTTTGTGCTTTTTATTTGTATTTTGTTTTTTTTTGATTGTGTTCACCTTAGTGGCAGTTTGGTTTGTGTAGTTGCTTGCCAAGATTATGATCCCAGATCGAATTCCCAGCATGACCAGATTTTTTGTCTCATCTGTATGGCTCTATAATGTTGAACCTAGGGCGAGAACTAAACATTCCAGTGCAACAAGATATGAGGAAAAGACGGTGTCAGATAAGACACACATTGAGAAATCTTGATTACAGTGTAACTAGAATGTCTTTTGCACAGGAAACCACATGTCAACAGAGTAAAGGCAGGTCAATTAGCTCACGGAGAAAGAATTAGATCATGAGAGGGAAAAAATGTGGTGGGTTGTACATAATAGCAAAGAAAAGACTGACTTGGTGCAAGATCGCTGAGGGCCTATGAACCTTTAATGGGTTCAAGACAAGAAGAACAACAACTCTGTTGTCCACCTGACCACATAAAAAGGCATCTGATAATTTTTGGAATTATATCTTAAATAAATTAAAAACTACTTTAGTATTCTCTGCGACCTATTTATGGAATCATCTTCTTCTCAATAGAAAAGAAAATAAAGCTACCCTCCCCCCCCCTTAATCCCTCCTCCAGACGTTTATCTACGAACATATTCTGACTAAAAGCACCATTAATTCATTTAAATTCTATCGTCATCATGTTACAATTTATTACCAATAGTTAGCATAAGAGTGTGTATTCGTTTAGATTACCACAATCTGCATATACAGTGCGTGCGAATGCTCCAATGCCTGTGTGCCAAACACACATTTGTCTACTTGTATGATAGTCATTATGGTGATCCTTCAACGACAGTACTCCTTTCTGAGAGGCAAGGAACCAACATTTTGCATATAAATAACACACACACACACACACTCACCCACATGTATGTGTGTATATATATATATATATATATATATATATATATATATATATATATATATATATATATATATATATATATATATATATATATATATATATATATATATATATATATATATATATATATATATATATATATATATATACTTTAAATTCATGCCGTCATGCTGGGAGGTCATACTTTGAGCAAACACATACACCGGCATACAGACAAGCCAGCATATATTCACACTAGCATACATTTTCATTGGCAAACAGGCATACGCATGAACTCGCACACTCACAGAGTAGTTTTAGAAATGTAGTCACTTGTAGTTATGTACTTTAATTTCTAGAACAATCCTACTGGAAGAAACTGGACATTTACATTCAGTGGGGCCGGCAATGGTGCAAACAACCAAGGTACAATGAGGATTGTGTGGGATGTAAATGATGTATCATGTAATGATGCTGGAATCTATCGATGTCAGATTGACTATTTTGTACTGAATGGTCCAGCAGTTACTGTCTATGCTGCCGATCAGAATGTAACAGCAACAGGTGAGTACATATAAAATTCCAGATTTGTATATATGGTATTTTCCATAAATTTTACAGAAGTGTAAATTTTATATTATATTTCAGTGTTATCTGAGCTTCCAATGAGAATATATAGTCAGTTCCTGCTGAAAGTTTCAATACTAATAATTTATAGAACTCCCTTTATGAGTTTAGGGGTCCCATTGTGGGGAAAAACCAAAACAAAGCCATTGCCTCCCCAACAAGTGTGTCATAGGATTTGAATATTTGAGGGCTTCCTTCAAATTGAGAGTGCCTGAGAAGCAAGGAACCAATAGTTTGCATACACATAAGCTAGATCTGTAAAATGGATGTGCATGCAACACTCAGGTTCTGGAACAAGACTCAAGCCCAGGAGTGGATGAACAGAACTTTCTGCTAGAGTTGACAGCTGATGAAAGTGAAGGAGAATAATCCTAGGACACTTCTGCTGGAAGCAACTGGACTTCATCACTTTAAGAGGAGCAAACAACACAGAAGGGGAGTGGCAGACTTCTAAAACCTTCATCCCGAGCAAAGCATAAATAAACTGTAGCATTAAAAAGTTGGGCACTCATTAAAAAAAAAAAAAACATTGTAATGGATTGAAAATATTTAAAAATATATCAAAGAAAAAACGTTTCTAAAAGTGGCAGAAGACAAAATCAGACTAAGACTACATCAAACATTAAAAGTAAGAAGAGACATCAAAAGGAAAGTGAAAGCAGCAGGATCATAATCTTCTGGTAGACTATGCAGAACAAGAAGCATTCTTATAATTGTGAAACTAAGTCACCAAGTAAGTTTTACAGAAGAATCAAAGCAATTAGGCCGAGGGAAGAAACATGTAATTCATTCACTATGATTAACAATTTTAAGACAAAACTTCCCATCTGTCATAGCGACGTCAGTGGCATAGTCGTTGCCAGTCCGACTCGTAATTCCAACGTTCCACAATCGAAACCAACTGGTGGCTGCGTTGATTTTTATCGTAGTATAGGGCGTCGCAGATCGACCCAGTCTAAAATGGGTACTAGGATGTGTGTTCTGAAGAAGTAAAGAGGGCCGGCGTAATGCTGATTACATTACCCACCTAGTGCCGATCGTTCTGTAAAAATATGGGCTCTCTTCCCATTTACCCAATTCCCCTAAAGGCGTGAAAAGAGATCCTTACTTTTTAATTCCAAGCTGTCAAGATATAAAAAAGTAGATGGGAAGAATATTTAAATGAACTGTCAGGTTGTGACCACAGGATAAATAGCATACCAAATACAATGCAGTCATCTGCAAAAAAAAAAATGCAGAAAGGCATATACTGAGTAAACAAGTAGAAAACTAACAGAGCATTTCCGTGAACTTTTTAAAGATATTACCAAAAAGGCACTTAAATATGTCTTCCTCCATTTTAATGGTTCTGACGATGAGGGCAAAAGTTATATCTCAGTCACTGCTATAAAATCTTGCTACGGGGATCAGATAGAAAATTGTTTCTTTTAGGTTTAATATTCTCGGTTCTGGATGGATTAATATTGAACACAACTGTATTTCATGTTGTTAATTATTTTTTATTTATTTAACTTGTTTATGTTTCTCCCCTCAATATTTTAAACACTTTATCACTTTATTTTGTTTCATAATCAAGCCCTTATATCCATACCCCACCCTCATCCCCCGTACTTATTTTTTGGTTTACTGCTGACCTTGGTTGTTTAGAACCTGTGTTTTCTTGTCTGCTGTTTAAAAGTTTGCATTGTATTTAGTACTTCACTGATAAAGATTTTGGTCGAAACGTTCGGTTGTTTTTGTGCAAGTCTTTTCCACTCCCTGTGTTGAGCTTTATAGTCAAATTGTGTCGTGTTTTTATTACGTCCTACCAAATCAGTGCCTGAAAAGACCACGAACCAGATTTACCGGAAGTGTAGGTTGAAATGTCCCTGAAAGAAAGTAAAAGGAATAAGGCTGCAAGAAATATTGGTATTACAGCAGAAGTGATCCTTGTGTGTATGACAACAGCGGTAGTCTGATTGACTTCAACATTGCTTGGGAGACATGGACTGTCCCAGCTGCTGGCAAAGAGCTATTATTGTCCCTAAATGGAAGAAGTAGGGAGATAAAGGAGATTGTGAAACCTATAGAGGTATCTCCCTCTCGAGCCATATTGGAAAACGGGTTGCAAAATTACTGGAGTGTTTAACTCTTTGAGTCCCAGGGGGTTTAGCATTACAGGCCCAGGGGGTAGTAAAAAGAATTGGCGCATCATGCGTTCATTGGGCTTGTATGTAGAAACATATGAACGTATGATGCGTTCATTGGGACTCAAAGAGTTAACTTCCGGTCCTTTTTAGGATGAAATTGTTCGTTATTTGAACCCCTACTCTGGCTCTTGCCAGGGGCCGCAATATAGCCTGGCTATAAATATGGCCTAAAGGCTGAACGCGGTTTCTGGGACCTCTCCACGACGATCCTCACCAACATGGTGGCACTTTGTGTCATTAGGTGTTTATCGCTTGTGTGATGTCGTGATGGGGTAGAAAGTTAGTCAGTACTGGATCTAAGAGCTTGACATGTAGTACTATAACCCCCAAACAGAGCTCTGTTCAGTTTTAAGGAAGATGGAGAGTTGCACATATGTGATATTCACATTATTTGAGCAGACAACTGAATATGATAAAAGTCAGGTGAATGAGTATGTGTGTATTATATATCTACGATACATATACAGCAAAACTTCGATTAACCGTCACGGGCTGGACCAGGGCTGTGACGCATAACCGAATCGACAGGTAACAGAAATCTCTTAATACATATGTACAGTAACGTAATTTTATTGCAGGCTTTGGATGAAAATGAAAATAAAATCCTTCAAAAAGAAATAATACATACAAATTGTATTTAATTGTACAAAACGATCAATATAAATAATAATACCCCCGTGTGGGTTCCAGGGCCCCATTGTGGGGTAAACAAGAATAGACCCACTGCCTTCCCAAAAGCATGTTGTAAGAGTCGACTAATTGGGGAGCTTCCTTTGAAGTCGGAGTGCATCTGCCAGAGAGGCAAGGAACCAACAGTCTGTATTCAAGGTTCTGGAGCAGGACTGCAGTTCAGTAGTGGACGAGCTACCAGAACTTTCCGCCAGAGTGTACAGCTGGTGAACGTGAAGAAGAAGAAGGAGATAAATAATAATAGAAATAATGTACAGAAATGTATTGTAATACCAGTAATTCCCAAACTGTGCGCCGCAGCGCCCCGGGGAGCCGCGACATCGTCACAGAGGCGCCGCGGAATATTAAAAGAAACATGTTTTTCTTATCTCTTACGTACAAATAGTCATAATTTCACCTAGGTAAGGGCACCGTGGAAACATTATAATTGAAAAAAAAAAAAAAAAAAAGCGCCGCGACTAAGAAGAGTTTAGGAAAAACTGGTAATTTTTCAAACCTACATTACTTAAAAAAGGTTTCGGAGGTTTCTGTTTGTTGATACACGTTTTTGTTTGTTGATACACGTTTTTGTATGTTGATACACGTTTTTGTTTGTTGATAAACGTTTTTGTTTGTTGATACACGTTTTTGTTTGTTGATACACGTTTTTTGTTTGTTGATACACGTTTTTGTTTGTTGATACACGTTTTTGTTTGTTGACACAATTTTTTTGTTTGTTGATACACGTTTTGTTTGTTAATACACTTTTTTGTTTGTTGATACTCGTTTTTGTTTGTTAATACACGTTTTTGTTTGTTAATACACGTTTTTGTTTGTTAATACACGTTTTTGTTTGTTGATACACGTTTTTGTTTGTTAATACACGTTTTTGTTTGTTAATACACGTTTTTGTTTGTTAATACACGTTTTTGTTTGTTGATACACGTTTTTGTTTGTTGATACACGTTTTTGTTTGTTGATACACGTTTTTGTTTGTTGACACTCACACGTTTTTGTTTGTTGATACACGTTTTTGTTTGTTGATACACGTTTTTGTTTGTTGATACACGTTTTTGTTTGTTGACACTCACACGTTTTTGTTTGTTGATACTCGTTTTTGTTTGCTAATACACGTTTTTGTTTGTTAATACACGTTTTTGTTTGTTGATACACGTTTTTGTTTGTTGATACACGTTTTTGTTTGTTGATACACGTTTTTGTTTGTTGATACACGTTTTGTTTGTTGATACACGTTTTTGTTTGTTGACACACTTTTTTTGTTTGTTGATACACGTTTTGTTTGTTAATACACTTTTTTGTTTGTTGATACTCGTTTTTGTTTGTTGATACACGTTTTTGTTTGTTAATACACGTTTTTGTTTGTTAATACACGTTTTTGTTTGTTAATACACGTTTTTGTTTGTTGATACACGTTTTTGTTTGTTGATACACGTTTTTGTTTGTTGATACACGTTTTTGTTTGTTGACACTCACACGTTTTTGTTTGTTGATACACGTTTTTGTTTGTTGATACACGTTTTTGTTTGTTGATACACGTTTTTGTTTGTTGACACTCACACGTTTTTGTTTGTTGATACACGTTTTTGTTTGTTGATACACGTTTTTGTTTGTTAATACACATTTTTGTTTGTTGATACACGTTTTTATTTGTTGATATTCTTTTTTGTTTGTTGATACACGTTTTTGTTTGTTGATACACGTTTTTGTTTGTTGATACACGTTTTTGTTTGTTAATACACGTTTTTGTTTGTTAATACACGTTTTTGTTTGTTGATACTCACACGTTTTTGTTTGTTAATACACGTTTTTGTTTGTTAATACACGTTTTTGTTTGGTAATACACGTTTTTGTTTGTTGATACACGTTTTTGTTTGTTGATACACGTTTTTGTTTGTTGATACACGTTTTTGTTTGTTGACACTCACACGTTTTTGTTTGTTGATACACGTTTTTGTTTGTTGATACACGTTTTTGTCTGTTGATACACGTTTTTGTTTGTTGACACTCACACGTTTTTGTTTGTTGATACACGTTTTTGTTTGTTGATACACGTTTTTGTTTGTTGATACACGTTTTTGTTTGTTGACACTCACACGTTTTTGTTTGTTGATACACGTTTTTGTTTGTTGATACGCGTTTTTGTTTGTTGACACTCACACGTTTTTGTTTGTTGACACTCACACGTTTTTGTTTGTTGACACTCACACGTTTTTGTTTGTTGACACTCACACGTTTTTGTTTGTTGACACTCACACGTTTTTGTTTGTTGACACTCACACGTTTTTGTTTGTTGACACTCACACGTTTTTGTTTGTTGACACTCACACGTTTTTGTTTGTTGACACTCACACGTTTTTGTTTGTTGACACTCACACGTTTTTGTTTGTTGACACTCACACGTTTTTGTTTGTTGATACACGTTTTTGTTTGTTGATACTCACACGTTTTTGTTTGTTGATACACGTTTTTGTTTGTTGACACTCACACGTTTTTGTTTGTTGACACTCACACGTTTTTGTTTGTTGACACTCACACGTTTTTGTTTGTTGATACTCACACGTTTTTGTTTGTTGATACACGTTTTTGTTTGTTGATACTCACACGTTTTTGTTTGTTGATACTCACACGTTTTTGTTTGTTGATACTCACACGTTTTTGTTTGTTGATACTCACACGTTTTTGTTTGTTGATACACGTTTTTGTTTGTTGATACACGTTTTTGTTTGTTGATACACGTTTTTGTTTGTTGATACTCACACGTTTTTGTTTGTTGATACTCACACGTTTTTGTTTGTTGATACTCACACGTTTTTGTTTGTTGATACTCACACCTTTTTGTTTGTTGATACACGTTTTTGTTTGTTGATACACGTTTTTGTTTGTTGATACACGTTTTTGTTTGTTGATACACGTTTTTGTTTGTTGATACACGTTTTTGTTTGTTGATACACGTTTTTGTTTGTTGATACACGTTTTTGTCTGTTGATACACGTTTTTGTCTGTTGATACACGTTTTTGTTTGTTGATACACGTTTTTGTTTGTTGATACACGTTTTTGTCTGTTGATACACGTTTTTGTCTGTTGATACACGTTTTTGTTTGAGACGACAACGAATAACTAAAGCTGACAGGCAAGTGAGGGGCGGTTAATCAAAGTTTTACTGTATGTATATTTGAATGTTTGCATTGATGTTTTACCAATAATGATTTTGTTTATTTACTTGATAGTCATTTTATGTAAATTGTTATATGGGCCACAAATAAGACGAATTTGCATGCCCAATTTATGACCCTTTTGAAATAAAGTTTGTTGACTGTTTTCCCTGAAGGCACGTGTTTTTAAATAGTTGAGAGTTATTTATTAATATGTCTTAAAATTGATTAACTGGCTTTCATTGCAGTTGGACTGTCCAATTTTGAATTAAAAGCCGACCCGTATCAAAATGATTTTGCTGTGGATGACAATGTCACATTTATATGCTCGGCTATTGTAAGTTTTTACATTTTCAACCTTTCTCTGTATTTCACTTCAACTGAATTTAATCCTAATTGTTTTTCTAATCTAAATTATTGAACCTCTATTGCTAGATTATTGAATACAAGAGAGAAAGAGCAGAAACTAACACAAAAACCTGTCAGTGATATTGATATAAAAAAAAAAAAAAAAACGACTCATTTCATACCAGTGGGGCATCGGGTATATGGTTCTAGACCTGTGTTATAGACCAGGTGAAACTCAAAATGTGATATAGGCAATTTCTTGCTGGCCACTTTTACTTCCCAGGATTGACTGGTACCCATTTTAGACTGGGTATACCTTGGGAGACAGGTCAGTTATTTTCTAAAATCGGTCTATCTGGATTTGAACGAATACTGTTGGGATTGTAGACTGGCATTAGGCCACTGAATTATTGAGGCTACGATCAAGCCTACTGTGTGAGACAACTAATGCGCATTTAGCTTTGCTTGCCATTCCAGCACATATTAAAAAAAAAATTGTAATAATAATTAGCTTCCTTTATCTGTATTCGTCGGGTCTGTGGCTAAGTCGATGCGAACGTTTCGTAATGCCGGTATGCCGGGTTCGATCCCAGATGTGGGCCATGCGCCTTGCGTTGGTTTTGACAGTGGCATCAAGAAAGCCGACCGTCCAGAAGCAATGGCAAACTACCGGACGTAAATTTGCCTAGAAAAAACACACATCAGCTAGGGGCTGTTGGGGTTGGTTCTGCAACATCCTGTAAAGGATGAGCAACTAACCAATCTGTATTCATTTATGTCAGTTACGATGCTGTTCAACAAACAACATTCTCATAGTAACACTTTGCTGCCAGCGCCAGACTTAGACATTGTCAAAATCTCACTAATTTAAATTAACACATGGGAGATAATAGGCCTGAGGAAAGCTGCTAGCTTAAGGGGCAGTCATATCTTGTATATTTTTTGCTTTAACATTCTATGCCGCTAATCTTTTAGACACATAAGTATATTTTCATGTGCAGTTAAAAATTTTTAAATGTGGTCAACAGAACCTGAGATATTTTGATTATAAATTGATGTATCTTGGTAGTTCAACATCACTATTTGACAGAAAATCCTATATTTGTTGTTGTTGCTATAGTACTTGTCGATCCAAAACAAGAACGAGCGTGACGTTTACTATCAGTAATATTGTAGGAATAACTTCTTCCACCAAATTCATTGCGACACAGATCAGATGGTTTGGTCATTTCATTTGAGTGTAGCTAAAACTAAAAACACAGGCCTACGAAGATATGATGTTAGAGCAAGATTGGTGCCCTAGAAGAGGATGTAGCGGAAATATTAGACATTTTTTTCTTCACATGGACTGACATTAGCCGTTCCGGCCCCTCAAGCACCGCACCCCAAACAGTTCCTCACACGACGCTTAACTTTTTCAGTGTGACGAAGTTTCACTGAAGATATCCAACAGAAATGATAGACACAATAAATAGAATATGAGTTCATAACTTTAAAAGAGGCAGCACTTACACACCTTGCATGAAAAATAGATCATGTTGAAATTGAAAATGACTGACTCGATTTCAGTAGTATGTGTCGTATCAGATCGTGCGTTGCAGGCTTTACTTGGACAATAGCATATCACACATGGGACTAAAAGTGTATGGTAAAAGTGGAAGTTGATGTTGCTAATGAACGAAGAGGACTTTTCTCAGTAAGCAGACACACAAGCCACTGTCTGACTGCTAAATTGTTAAACATAATAATGCATAAACCAGTGTTTCCCAAACATTTCTTAGTCGTAGCGCCTTTTTTTTTCAATTGAAAATTTTTCACGACGCCCTAACCTGAGTAAAAGTATGACGATTTGTAAGTAAGAGATTAAAAAAAAAAAAAACAACGCGTGTATCTTCGAATATTCCGTGGCGCCCCTGTGCAGAAGTCGCGGCTCCGCGTTCGTCGCGGCGCACAGTTTTGGAATCACTAGCCTTAACCAGTTCAGTATCAAATAAGGACATGTTTTTAAATAGTTACTGATGCTAGTTTCTGTTTACAAATGTAGTTGGTGGTGCAGTAGGTTTTGGTAGAGGCATGAGGGGAAGTTTAGGCCTTTTACTGTCTATAAGGAGCTACTTCGTACCTCATCTCAGGTGCCATCAGACTCTGTGGTGGTTTTGTGAATCCTCATGCAAGATTCCTGCCACATGTCTGTGTCGTAAGCCACAGATTAGGGTCTTTATTAGACTTAACCGAGATGGCAGTGGATCTCGGAATTGGTGGCTGTCAGAGATGCAGTGTCCAGAAATCCCCTGGCTCTCAGTACCTATGCAGGGGTTATAGTATCTGTAGAAATATCGTTTGGAACATAAATGATGTCCGCTGGCCTAGTAGCCTACTAAATGGCAAACTTTGGTTCACATGTCTGCAGATCCAGAGCCCTGCTATGTGATTAACCTTGGTCCAAACTTCTGTCAGCCTAAAGCCCTACTAAACGGAAACTTAGGTTCAAGTGCACATCTATCATGTATCCTACAGCATGTTGTATGACAGCAAAGGTTCAGAAATCATTTTGCTCAACTATACTATTTTCTGACACAAAGGATTCAAATATCTGCTACCTGACCACACTCGTAGAGTCAAATGACCATACAGGAAAGACATTCCTGATGGTGCTTTTCATAAACGCCACACAAAATGCAACAGAGCATAAAAAAAAAAAAAAAATTGCAATTGACAGACACATACGCCTGAAATCATGAGGGCTGATTTTTCCTACATGAGCCAAGTATCAGAGCATAATATATCAGCTGTGCACTTATTGATGCCTCCGTGGATGTTGGGGAATGCCTACGTTCTGCTCCTGCCTTTCCTTAAGGGCCAACCATCCTGCACATCGCGGTCTTGGACTGGTTCTCAAACTGGTCCTCAAGGAAGAACACGCGTAGATCAGGATATAACAAAGCCACCGTAACAAATAAGAATCAGCAAGGAAGAACACCCGTAGATCAGGATATAACAAAGCCACCGTAACAAATAAGGCTGTAAAATGTCCCTCACCGTCGCACACAAAAAACTAGGAACGCTAACCCAGAAAACAAATGCCTGACGAAGTCAGATGTGTCGGACAGCATGTGCAGGTATTTTTTGCTATGATGTTCTTCTTCTTCTTCTTCTTTCGTTTGCTTGAAATATATTATCTATGTCTTCAGTGCTGTCTCTAGTATAAACTTCACTGACTTTTGTAATTAACTAAGCGGTCCGTAAAGTTTGACTTCCACAAGGGTCTCTCAGCCAGAAATTTTGGATGGAAGCGTTGAATCCGGGACAGTCTTAGAGAATGTGATCTGTTGTCTCAAGTGCCTCTCCATAGGTACACATGTCTGATTCACCAATCTTAAATTTTGCGTACATGTGGCAGCGAAGTCGATTGTGCCCTGTTCTAAGGCGAAGGATAATGACTTGCTGCAGTCTGGCCATAATATGGAAATCCTCTTGTGCCAGCTATGATGTAAACTAGCATAACTCATGTGTGTCACTCAATGAATGAATGAATGATGAAAGAGGAGGAGAAGAAGAAAAAGAAGATTATTATTATATTATTATTTGTGTGATTATTGCAAATCTTTGCTTACATTTGATTATAGATGTGTACTATGTAACTAATGCTAATCTCTGTTGACGCACCTGCCTATAAATATGTATTTATTTATGTCATTTATTCTTTTTCAGCATTTTGAACCTTTGGGGTTCATTGCTGCAAAAATCACCCCTCTCCATCAATCTCTGTGTCTGGCCTTCTCTTTTCATTTAGTTTCACGTCAAAAGTTTGTAGGCCTGCCCGGAAATTACTTCTACATCACTTCATTGTGGTCTACTACCGTTCGGGTCCGTTGCGTTCACAGTTTTTAAACTCTTTGTCATATGCAATTCTCCCAGTATGCCTCAGTCATTCCAGTCTATTAGCCCGCATGATGCCATGTCATGCTAGCAGCAGCTGATATTGAACAACGTCTACTTTTCCTTCTCTATCAAGGGCTTGTGCTTAGCGTCATTGACTATGGTCTTGGCCTCCTCACTGTCAGCAAAACCCAGCTAGAAAGACTGGACCGAGTACAGAATGAGGCCATGAGACTCATACTCGGCTGCACAAAAGACACCTCCTGCAACGCCATGCGTTATATCCTGGGTCTGCCGACTATGACAAGCAGATACAAAGTGGCACAGGTCAAGGCTTACATGAGGGTATCGGCAGATATTAACCACCCATTACACAAAGCTATTCACGACACAAAAGGAACGCGTCTCAAAAGGGGCCGCTCTTGGATGGCAAAGGCTGAGGACTTAATCCAGCAGGTATGTGACCTAGACGTGATCAGCCACGGAAAAGAATGGACGAATACACCAGTAGACATGCATGGCATCTCTAAGGTTGTCATCACACTCGAAAGGTACTGCAGGGATCAAATTCCTGCGGCGGTAGACACAGAAGTAAGGGAACTGATAGATCAGCATTCAGACCCAGAAGATACCATCATCTACACAGATGGATCCGTGAAGCGCGGATCAAGTTCAGCATGGGCAAACACAGCGCAAAGAAAGGGGAAAACAATACATGAGGACAGCGGCGCTTACCAGACTACCACGTCAAGCATGACAATGGAAATAGCCGCTGCTTCTAGAGCTTTAGCATGGGTATCCGAGCAAACCGCCACACAGGTAGTAATTGTCTCAGACTCAATGAATATGCTTCAGAAGATAGCAACAGGCAGTATGCGCTCTGAATGGATAGAAAGCATCAGGAAATCGTACTTAACCTCCGTAACCTGGATCTACACACCGGGTCATGTGGGCGTGAAGGGAAATGAGCGAGCAGACCAACTGGCAAGCACTGCACTAATGATTGCGGGAAAAAGTATGGACAGAGCAGACATAGTCAACGCTGTACGAACTGGGCTAGTGGAGAATGAGGAATCCCTGACACTAACACGATTGCGTGACATGGGAGTT